TAATGTATTTTATTATAATGGCTTTTAATTCCAGAAAGTATAACATAGGATGATCAATGCTAAACTTATAAGTTATTAGATATAATTACTTTATAATATTGTATTAGTTATTTTAGTTATAGTTGACAATTAGGCATATAATAGAATTGTCTAAGATATTCTTCTTAAGTGTCTAAAATTTTATAATCTTCCACTTTCATATAGATAGTATGCTTCTCCTTTTTTATAATTTAGTTAATAGGTCGAGAAAAAAAATAATTTTGGCTCTGTCCATGTTTATAGTAAAGACTAAGATTCATTGTTTAAATAAGATCTCCCTTTTTTGAAATCTAATCAATAGAAGCATACAAGCATTAACGTCTTTACTTACAGAATCTGCATTTGTGATTTTACATTAATTATATAATTCATAATTATTTCATATAATTCATAAAATTATACATTATATATATATATTAATAAATTATGCAATTATCTCCTATTGATATAGATTATTTACACTAAGAAAGTATTGGTGGAGTCATTGCAGATGGATTGACAGTCCTTTACAATACATAACCTGAAAAACCTATTGAATTTTTAGCCAAATGGTTATTATAATATTGTAAAACTTCCACTCAGAAAACTCACTTTTATGATGATGTATGATAATCTTCACTTAATAGTTAACAGCTCTAGAAGAAAGAATAAAACATTTAGAATTTTATCCAATAACAAAAATAAGAGAAGGAAAAATTAGAAGAATTGCTTTAATTCAAATAATAAACTATATAATAAGAATTAAATTACATTGAATATTTAAGAAATCATCCCTATCATTAAGAATTGATTATTCAAGAATTTCCAGATTTTTTAATGAAGAAATTTGTAAAAATTACTTATATTATTTCAATTTAGAATTTATCTGGTGTATATATTTGTTATTTCACCCATCAAAAATAAGAAGTTGATATTGATTTAGTAGATGATGAAAATGCATTTATAAATCAAAAAGCACCTAAACTATTGAAATATGTAGGAACCTCTTCAAATCAAAAATTCCTTCTCAATCTAAACTTAACTGAATAAGCTATTCTTACATATGAAGTACTTAAACCACCTCCTGTTGAAGAAGGCAAAGCTCCAGAAGTATATAAAGGTTGTTATATACCAGATGTTGTTAAAGAGTCTAAAATATATTTTCATAGATTCCCTAAATTGGGATGCTATTTCGCTATTCCAATGAATTTTGAAACTTCTCTTTTTGAAGTAATTAAATTTAAATAATATTAGGATGCCTTTGATGCAGGTTTAATGAATAGGATAAAATATAATTCTGAAGTTGAAACTTAAAAGTAAGAAATTAAAGCAAAAGAATTAGAACATGCAGAATAATTATAAAATGCAGAAAATGAAGAATAAAAACAATAATTGGAAGATGAATATTAAAATTATTTATCTTCATTACCATAAATTGTTGAACCATCTTTTTTAGGCATCTAATAATAATATATTGTATGTGGTGATACTTTAGGGTAAGATAGAAAATTGTCATAGGAAGAACGTAATTAATTATATGATATGATTTAATAATTTGGATAAAGTTATTAAGAGAAAGAAATAGCCTTATTATCAGAAGATATTAATTAATAAATTGAATATCATAATACTATTCCTGAGAAATTGGAAGAGAATTATTTAGATTAAGAAAATTAATTTGTTGAATAATAAGCTGTAAATTTAGAAGAATTAAAATAAACAAATGAAAGAGATTATAATTATGAAATAGAGTGTATTAAATTTGATTTTCTGAAGTAATAATTTACAGCCAAAGATTTTGCCTCTACTTTTCTTAATTTAACAAAAAGGAGAGTCATTAAATTCCCAAATATTATTAAAGCTTTATTTTATTTGTTAGGTTATAAAAAAGAAGAAATCACATTAGAAAATAAATTGAATTGGAAGATTGTAGCTTCTTATATTGATTATAGATTTTTAGCAAAATTAGCTCTTATTAATCATAGAGGACCTAAAGAAGCTCCACTTTAACATGCTACAATATTTAGATTAGAAAAATTGATAGATATATATGATGAAGAGAAAGTTATGAATTACAATTGGGCTTTAGGATATTTATAAAGATTTCTAACATTGTATTGTAAATTGAGAAGAGAGGATGTTGCAATAAGAAAGGAAATTTTACAAGAGAAGAGAGTTCAATTATAGGCTGCTAAAGAATAATTAGCCTAGTTATTAGTATAAAATTTATGATATAACAATAGGAATAAAAAGAAATAGACTTATAGACAGCTAGAACAAACTTTTAAGGAGAGGAGGGTGAAGAATTTGATGAATAGAAATGGATTGAATAATGGGAATCTGAACATAATCTTCCTGAAATTGGACCTGAACCATAGGATGAAATTGATGATGACTTAGAATGATATACATAAATTAGAAATAAAATTATATATATATTTAGAAATATGAGAAATTCATAAACAACTCCTATGCGTAGATCGATTACATTATAATCTAGGATTATTTAAAAAAGTGAAAGAACTCTTTTACCATAAGAAGATATCTTGAAAGAGAAAGTGAAATCTGATTTTGCTTTAGGACATTTTAGAGGTTTAATGAGTAGAAAAACACCATAAAAAGAGTTACCTAAAACTGAAATTTAATTAAAGAGATTTGAATAATTTGGAAAAGCAAATTAACAATCTAAAAATAAAAGATTAACATTCTTAAAATATGGATTCAGATCTCATGAAAAGAAAAATAATTATTATCTTCAACCTTTCATTCGAAAAGTTAGAGATGCTGAAGGAGATGTTGCAAATGATGGATCTATGGGAGTAGTTGATTTATGGAGTGATAGATGCATAAATAAATTAATGGAAGGAATGCATATGACTAGAGATAATTTAATAGTAAGAAAAATGGGTAGAGAACTTAATGATAGTGATTAATAAATGAAATAAAAATTAGAAGAAAGAAGAATGAAAGATAAGATACTTATAGAATCTATGAGAATGGCTTCATAAGATACAGATACATTTGCTTTTAAATTTCAATTACCTTCAAAAAATAAAAAAATTGTTGAGCGTATTGCTTAACCAACTATTGTTAGTACACTAAGAAATAATATCAGTCCGAATGATAAAATAACTTCTATTGTTGATAATATTGACAGTTTACATTAAGATTATTTGGAAATATATACTGATTTATATAGTAAAATCAGGAGCTTATAAAAATTCATCAAATGATATCTTTTAATTCAATTTTATATTATAATACTTTGGGTCTAAAACCAATGATTCCTAATTATTTTAGTTTCTCTATTTCACAAGAATTAATAGGCACTCTTTGTTAATATATAAAATCAGAAATATGTTTAGCCATTCTAATAGGTTCATCTTCATGAATATTATGACCAGACTTTTCAAACAAATGAATTGGATATCTTGATTTAAGAAATTAATCTGTAGGTATTCTATCACTCTCTGCAATAAAAAGCATTTTTTAATAAGGAAATGTATCAAATCCATTTTAGATTCCCTCAAACCATTATTCCCAATATTACTTTGTTCCTATTAAATCTACTTTCCATTCTAAATTCTCATTTAAGTAATGAGGAACTGTTATTTAAGCTGATATAGGATTCCGTATTAAATTATTATATACATGATAATTTATTGCACTAGAATATGAACTGAATAAACTAGGCCTTTTTCTTAATTAATAATCCATTATTTAAATGCTTTCAAAAGCTTTACTTTCAATCATATCAATTACTATTAACCCTCTTATGTAAGATTAATGCTTTATTTTTGATGCTATTGCTGCACCTAAACTATGACCTAGTAATATAATATTCGTATTTGGATTTTTTATTCTGATAAATTCTATAACTGATTCACATTCTGATATCAAATTTTTCATTGTGAGAGTTTCATTCCTTTAAGATAAACCATGAGAAATAATATCATAAGAGAAACAACTACAAAAAGTTTTAAGTTCTTATATTAATAATGCAAAGGTCATTGCACAATGTCCTGCTCCATGTATTAATAATATAATTGGTTCTGATTTCATTACCCAATAGATAGGTGTACCCTAAAATGTAAAGTTTATTTTGAAACATTAAAAATGACAAGATTTTCATAATATAAGTTCCAATTTAGATTATGATTTCTTAAATTTGGTTGTAAAGTTCCAAGTTATTGTTAAAGTATCGATTATGGTTTTCCATTCATTTGGAGAAATATTATAATAATTAAATAATTCTCATAATTAATAAAATAATTATTTATGATTAAAAAATTATCATATTTCACATATGAATCACTTCCTGTTTATACAATGGTAACTTCATTAGTATTGGATGGCAATGTATTGTAATTCTACTTGGTGAATGTAATGAGTTTGAAATGAATTAGAGCCTACATTTGCTATAACAGATTAAAATCATATGATGGCATTTAGTAAATTTTCAAAAGCAAAATTTGCCTTACAATTAAGATTATCAGCAGAAATTGATTAAAGTGATGATACATTAAAAATTAAAAGATGGACAAGTTTTGGTTTGACTTATGAAGAATTATCATAATTACTTTATCCAAATTTATTACCTGGATAAGAATTTGCATTATGTAATTAAAATAATTATGCATATAAATAGAATATAAATAAAAATAATTATTTGGAAAGTTGTATGATAAATATTTCAAATTAGTGTTCATAGAAAATGTGGATCAAGATAAATAAATGACTTATATAATAAATACAGATTAACATGGATAATTAAGAAAACAAATAGAAGTATGAAAACAATAGCATTTTAGAAATCATTAACATGGATAGCAGGTTGGCATCATCCAAAATAATTTATTAAATAATTAGAAGTATAAAAGCCAATAAATTGATTTGTTATTTATTTTATCACAATATAAAAGAATAAGGAAATGTTCATTACAAGATTATAATATTTGATTATTATTGTAATTTTAATGATATCATTAGACCAATTAATTTTTAGGTGTAAATGCAACACCAGTTGGATCTAGACTGCATAATACAATCTTATCTTCTCCAAGAGTTAAGTTCAATTAAATAATTATCTCCAATTTCTGGCTTTAAGAATTTAACACCTTATCTATTATTTAGAGTATTCTTTAACTTAAAGGTTTTTTATGAATTATTCTTACAATAAAAATATCCTAATCTAAAATTAATATAAATAATATAATGCCCTTTAGAAACAATTGTTTTCACAAAATAATCCAGTTGTTATTTATTATTAATTTATGTTTTCTCTAGCTACTTGTAACATAACTTTTTTTCTTAATTCAGCATCTCTAGGTACTTATTTTGGTCTCAAGAATTCAGACACTAAATTAATATTCATGTTCATTCAAAGTAGGAACAGCCCAATTAATTTTAATTTAAACTGAATATTTACCTATTTTCAACTAACTTTCTAATTGAACTTCTATATCTTTTTATTATTTTTAATCAATATATTAATGTTCTCTTTTATTTGCGTTTTTAGCTAAAAATATTCTAACATAAGAATATTCATATTTAATATCTTTATACAATTGATATATTCTAAAAGCTTCTTGATGAACTGTAAAATAATATTCTCCATCATTTTGAATATCAATATCATATTAAATAGTTTTAGTCCTTTTAGCCATTTATGTAATAGAATTGTATAAATATTCCTCTCTATTATAACCAACAAAAATTGCTTAGAAGTATCTTTAAAAATCTTTGATTTCCATAATAAAGATTCCATCATCTTCTTTTTTACCAAATTTTTTTAATTATTTCAAATCTTCTGTCCATAATGAACTTCCATCACTTCAATCACTATTCCATTCTTTATTTCCCATGGAATTTTAATCTTTAAAAGTGTCATTTCCCTTTTTGTAAGAGGAGTTACATTATAAACTTTTAATAATGAATAAGCATGTCTAGGTTCTAAACCATAATTAGATTAATTAGGATTTTATCCAAATGTACCACTTGTCATTACACATTTCATATCTAAATATTCTGAGAATTATTATTTGAAATCAACTGATTTAGTAAATAAAATCCAAGTAGGTTCACCTGTTATACTTTTAATAACTTCTCTTGGATCACCACCTACTATATCTGTATAATCTATATTCATTTTAGCCTATGCTTTTTCTAATAATACCACCCACAATTCTAAACCTGCATTCTTAGAAAATACTGGATTATCTTAACTATTAACAGGAATAAAATTATTCAATATTACAACTTTCCATTCACCATCTAAACATAATCTAATAGCACATAATTTTTCATTATTAACTGTTTAACTTATTCTTATTAAGGATTTTTATTTTATTTATCAATAATTTATTCCCACTATTGAAATAATTATCTCAAATGATCACAAGAGAATTTTATATTCCAATCTATTTTTTAAGAGATTAATATTCCTAAGGTGTAATAGAAGTATGAAATACTCGATTAGTTCTTTTGATTCTCTTTCTTCTAAGGCTAGATCTCTGTTTTTATCAAAGAAATTTGAATACTCTTTCTATGTCAAGTCTTTTTGCTAGATAATTTTGAATTATTATAGTAATTGTTTGTATATCTTATTTAGATAACACTAATTGAATCATTTATTATTTTTCTGTTAATTTTTCTAGGATTTCAACTGTTAAACCTACTAAATTTTTATGATTAATCAAAGCTTTCTATTAAAATCAAATCTATCTTGAAAATTATTAGAAAAGAAGAAATTACTAAAAGAATATGACTAAGATATTTTAAATAAGACTCTATAGAAATTAGAATATGATCCTCTAAATACAAAATAAATCAGATCAAAAGAAACACTTTTGGTTACTAACAAAATTACTATAGTCAAATAAAAAATTTAGACCTCAGATTCTAAAGGGAATTTTGCTGCTAAACCAAACATGGCTTTTGCAGATTCTTTTCGAACTATGGAACCAATTCAAGAAAAAAAGGTTAAAATCTAGAAAAATACAGATGATGATGATGAAATAGATATAAGAATAATTGATGGAATATAACGTGCTGCATTAATTAGAGTATATTGTTCTAAATAAATTACTTTATTTGATAATAAAGTTAAAATACCGATTGTTCTTTTGGTTTAATCTCTACCTCAATATAGAATTTTATGTGAAAAGATTGATATTACTAAACTTCATAATGCTTAAGAAACAATTCAATTTTTATCTTCAAATCAAGAAAGAAAGATCATATTTGATTAGGTTATATTGAAACTATGTGAATATACATAACATTTGAAAGAATTAAGTGAAAAACTTATCAAACAAAAAAATAAAATAGTAGCTTAAAAGTTTGATAAAGACAATGCTTCTTTCTTAATCTTGCATCAAAATCAATTAGAATAAATTTTAAAAGCAAGAAAATAGAGTTTCGCATTTGATGCATGATATGATAATAAAAGAATGGGTAAACTAGTAATCTTATTTGGAATGGTGGGGATTAAATAAACAGGATCATAATTTACATTTTCTAATTTCATATAGAAGTTTAACAAATTCAAAATGATTAAATTTATGAAAAAGTGATACTTTAAAAACCTTAAAGCAATCCTAAATTATATTAAACTATAAATTCATTAGAATAGAAGAAGGACATTGATGATTTATTATAAGGATTTTTATAAACAGATTTATCTCTAATTTCATTCGGATAAAATGGAGATATGCTATAAGAACAAATTTCCAATTAATAAGTAGAATAGGAAATTCAAGAATATGAAAAGAAAGCTTAAATGGATTAGGATGAAGAATAGCATGATAAAAAAAATGATAACAAACATCAAAACATTTGTGAATAGGAAAATAAATAAATATATTTCAATATTAAAATTTCAGATCTAACTCTTTTACTATCAAAGGATGATTATTTCTGACATTTGATCAAATATAAGTGAACAATAATTAAATATTATCTATTTATTAATATTTTTAATAAATTTTATTCAATGACTAAATCCCACTTACTAATACTAAATGTATTTTAAGTCACAACTATTAGTCATAAAGTGAATACTGTTATTAGCTAGACAATCTTGATCTTAATATTTGCTTGTCTTTTTTATAATAGTAACAACCATATATTAAATTTATTCATATGTATTCTAAAAATATGTTCAAAATATTTATCAAATTAATAAGCATTGATGTGCTAAGTACTCTTTTTAATTTTATACTATCTTTTTTTTTCAAATATATATTGGTATAGAAATATTTCTGGTTTATATTATTTTTTTACATTAACATAATTATATTAATTGAAATGGAAGGTAAACTTAATTTATATCTAGACATTTTTAAATAGCCTTCTAATAAATTCTTCATTATTAAATATAAGACAAGAGGATAAGCAGATTAAAGTCTTAATAATAAAGTCATTTTTGTTTAAAAAAGATTTGATTTGTAATTAAGAAATGCAGCCTAAGTATGCGAGTAAGTAGGAGTCTTTTTGAGTTGTTTAGATCAAAAATCTTTTATTGCTTTTGGTACAATTTAGAATGAACCAACTGATTTTGATTATCTTACCGTAATCTAAAAGTTAACTCATTAGGAGGAATAATAGCAAAATTTAAGTAAATTGCAAGAATTTTTCTAATCATTTGTGAAGGTAGAGTGGATATTTAAAGGAGTGCTTAATTTTGATAAAACTTAAAATATCAAAAATGATTTGAATGAAATGAAACCAATCAATCATTGTAAAGATGTATAAGAATTAACTTATCAAACAGCAGAATATGTAACAAATACAGAATTATACTAAGTTATTTTCATTATTATAAAAATAAAAACCATATAAACCTTAACCATAATAAGATATAGGAATACCACATTAATTAAATAAAATTTTAAGGGAAAATTTTGGGGAAAATAATAGTGAAAAATAAAAAAGTAGTAAAAGTAGAAGTCGACTAAGAGAAAAGGATTAAGATAATGATAAATATAAAGATTAAGATGATGATAAAGATAAAGATAAAGGTTAAGATAAAGATAAAAGAAAATTAAGCAAAGATAGAAAAAAAGAAAAGAAAAGTTATGATAGTAAAAGCAGAGATAGAAGAAGTAAAGATAGAATAAGTAAAGATAAAAAACAACATAGCAATGAAAAATAAAATTACAGAGAAGATAAAAGCTTAGATATTTAAGAATTTATTATTGATGATAGTATACTAATACATAATAGATAATAGATAAGGATTTAAGAGATTTTGAAAAATAAAAAGAAAGACAGGCAAGAGAATAAGAATAAATTAAAGAAAAGGATTAAAGAGAAAGGGATAGAACTAAGGAATAAATAGATAGAGAAAAAGAAAAAGAAAAAAAATAATTAAAAGAACTAGAAAAAAGAGAAAGAGAAGAAAAGGAAATGATAGAAAAATAAAAATAATAAGAGAGAGAAAGAGATAAAGATAAAGATAAAGATAAAGAGAGAGGGAAAAAAAAAAAAGATAGAGAAAGAGATAAAGACAAATAAAAGGATACAGATTATAATAGAGATAGAGAAAAATTGGATAAAGGCAGATATAATAAAAAAGATGATCTTAAATATAGAGATAGGAATGAATCTAAGCATGATTATGATAAAAGGAGAAAGGACAAAGAAAGAGATAAAAAAAATAGGGAAAGGTCTATAGATTAATCTTATGATAAATCAGATAGAAAAGATAGAGAAAGTAAGAAAGAGAAAGAAAGGTAGAGAGGTGGAGACACAGAAAGAGAGAGAGATTACAATTATCATAAGAAACAAAAAGATTATAGAAGAGAGAAAAAGAGGAAGAGAAGCGAGGAAAGATTAACGCCTAGATCTAGAAGTGATGAAAGACGTCAAGATCATAACTAAAATAAAAATAAGAAAGCACTTGATATTGCTTCATTAAGTGAACTACAAAGAGAATTATAGTACCAAAAATTAATAAAATAGTTCATCTGTATCACTTTAATCCCATAAAAATGAGAAATAGTAACAAGATTGTGAATTAGAAGTATCTTCTAAGTTATCAAAATAGAAAGAAGAAGTAGATTTAGGAGTAATTTTGGATGTTTTGGATTCTCCTAAATAAAATGATTAATAATTTCAGCCTTTAATTTAACCAGTTATGATTACATATAATGAATAAGCAGTATTAACAAAATAGAGTGAGTTACAATAATAAAACAATCATAGTGATTCATTAAAAAGAATATTAGTTGTGAAATAGGAGAAAAGCCAAAGTATACTAGATATTGTTGATTAACAAAAATCATAATAGTAAGGTTCAATGAAGATCATAAAAGATGCTCCTGTTAAAATTATTTAATAAATAAATATTCAACAAAGTTATTAAGAATCGAAGCAAGTATTCATTATTAAATATTGAAAAGGGTAGTGGGAATTCTATTAAAGATAGGATAATACTTAAAAAAAAATGAGAATTAAATTAACATTCAAATAATAACTTATATTTTACATATTTTATTTTTATTTATTTTTTGTATCATAGCATTTTAAAACAGTTTTCTTGAATTCTTTTTTAGTTTTATTAATTTATATAAACTCTAACTACAATCTTATTTAAATCAATATGAAAGAAAGTTAATATTAAGAATATTCAGTTGAAGATGATTCAAATATTAGATAATTACCTCAACCTATTGATCATATTGATAAAGGTTACTCATTAGAAAATGATATGGTTTTGGGATGGGTTCCTGCTTATAATCAAGAAGAGACAATAAATGTATAGTTTTATAATGAGTTAAATGATTAAGTCATTGAGTATTATAATAAGAAAGACCCAAATAAGATAGTTTATATAGGTTATAGACCCAATGATGCAATGTAATTTCATTAATAATTTTCTGCATAATCTAATTATGTATTCAAAAATACTAAAAATTATAAAATCAAATCAAATATATAATAATAGTTATTTGTAGGAATGAATCCAAATATTGATTTTTAAATAAAATTCAATTCATAATTTGAAAGTGGAAATTTGGATTTAGCTATTTAGAAATCTGAATTTGAGTATGATTTATTTATGAGAGTTGATACAAATACTAAAGGTCATACACTATGGTATTATTTTGAAGTCACTGGTTTAAAAAATTAAGAATAAATCAAATTTAATATATGTAATTTTCGTAAAAAAAGATGTTTATATGAACGTGGAATGAAACCATATGTTTAAAGGGATTCTTAAGATTGGTAATAAGAAGGAGAGAATATAAAATATTAGATATATAAATGTTAATTTAACGATGTACAAAAATAATATTATTGTCTATCATTTACTTTATTGAATAAAAAAAGAGATGATAAACTAAGAATAGCCTATTGTATACCATATACATTTAGTCAATTAAATAATTTTTTAAAATCTTTAAATTCAAAATATATTGAATAATCATATTTTTGTTACTCATTAAGTGGTGTTTAAGTACCAAAGTTAACATTTTCAAAAGGAAGTATTTTAAAGAAAAAAGTAGTTGTAATTTAAGCTAGAATACATCCAGGAGAATCAAATTCATCATGGGTTATGTAAGGATTATTAGAGTATTTGAATTCAAGTAAAGCAGAAAAATTATTAGATTAGTAAATAATAAAATAATTATAAGATTAATATTTGTAATAGTGCCAATGATGAATGTTGATGGAGTAATTTTTGGAAATTATAGGACTGGTTGTGCAGGTAGAGATTTGAATAGGTAATTTAGAGATAATAGTAAGAAATTATATCCAACTGTTTATGCAATGAAAGAAATGATATCTGATTTATATTAATTATATGGAGATTAATTAATTGCATTTATTGATATACATGGTCATTCAGGTATGTTATGTAAATTTTATTAGAGCCAAAAAGAATGTATTTTTATATGGACCTGAATTTTAATTATGGAATTGTAATTATTATAAATCAAGATTATTTGCTAAAATTTTATCACTTAAAACTCAAATTTTTCGATATTATTCATGTTTATTTAGAATAAATAAATGTAAAATGAATACTGCTAGAGCTGTATTTTGTGAGAAATATGAATTTATTAATTGTTTTACTTTGGAAGTATCAAATAGTAGTTATTATTATGATTAAATTACAGAGAATTTCACTGAATAGAAATGGATTTAATTTGGTTAAATTATTGGAGAAGCATTTAATGATTTTATAATATATTTTTAAGAAATAGATACATTATTTAGTGATTTTAAGGATAAAAAAACTAATAAATAAATTAAAAAAAAATAGAATAATCAATAAAATGAAGAAAAATAATTTAATCTTTAATTAGTTTGTTAAAATTCAAAATATTCTAAATTATTTGAAGAAATGAAAAATGATTAACCTAATCTATCATTTTCTGAAGGAGAATCTGATAGTGAAAGGGAATCAGATGATTTAGATGATGAAATAGTAAATAATTTTGTATTAACATAAAATAAATAAAGAAAAATTAAATATTCTAAAAATTCATTGAAATTAAAGGATCATAAAAAAAAGTCTATAAAAAGTGAAAATAATTCAACAGTAACCAAAAATACTGTCTTATTAACTAAATAATCATTTTTAGAAGATTAACCTAATAATATATATTAATAAACTTAAAATTCAAATATTTAGAGAAGAACAACCTAAAAATCATATAAATAGGATGATAAATTTTAAGACAAACTTTTTTCAAGTAAATATACAATGGAAACTAGAAATATTCCACATTTTAGAGGATAGTTTCTAGGAGGAATTCAATCAAATTTTCAATAAAATAATAATTATGATAAAAATAAATCTCCAATAAAATTAAAAATATTAATTCAAGAAGCTTAAATGAAAGGAAAATCAGAATTAAATTGTGAAATTAATGAAGATAATATGGCTGATTAAATTTTTCAACCTTATAT